ATTAATCTATTCGCCTACAGCTGCCTAGTGAAATTTAAACAAGAATATGGAATCTACTATAATCATCTACCCATATATGCAGCACAAAAAGTTTACAGAAATATTTCACTAAAAGAGTATAATATTGCAAAACGAAATATTGTTACAACATTGCTACAATTTTGCAACAATATTAAAATGTCAGTTTTCAAAAAGATTGCAATGAAACATAACAATTCATTGTATCACATTATTATACTGTCTGTATCATATAATATTTTTAAATTGGAATTTTTATACTTATATTGATTAAAATAAAAGTTTTAGCATTTTCCCTAGAAAAAAACTTTGTTTTTTTAGTAATACGAATCTTCATTTAAAAATGCTCAAATATCGTGATATTAAGATTCAATAAGTTATAATTTAACTTTTTAAGTCCTAACATCACGATATTATTTTCTTTCTAAAGTACATATTTCGAGTATCGTAACGTAAACAAATATTTTTTCACTCATGAATTTTTAATCGATATCATATTTTTCCAAAACTCTTAACTTTTGTTCAACAGAAACAAGCATAATAAAAAAAACAGCTAAAATCGTTAAAACTATTTTTTATCACTATTATTATTCGAGAGTTTGATTATAATAGACATCTTGATATTTCCTTGATGGAAAATCAATTTCAAATCGGACAAAAAATTTCTACGTTGAAGATTATTCTGTATAAATATCCTCATTTATAATTATATCAATCAAACAAAATTGCGCACATATTAATTAGATCTCCATGCAAACGCTGAAGAATCAATTACAAATTTACTCATTTAGCAGAATGGAGTGAATTTTTTTACCTTTTTTTTTATAATATGTCAGAGTAATTTAATTATATACCAAATTGAATAAAATAATATTTATAGAAGATATATATTTCAACTTGTATATAATATTTAGCCTCAACCAACACACTGATAATAGTTTATTTTATTTTACGTACATGAATTATTGAATGTCTTAAAAATTGTGCTACAATGCTATAGAAAATACAAACTATAATGATAAAAAGTACGATGCAATCGTAATAATACCTACAAAACATAAATTTCGAAACTATATTACAATAATTTATACATAAAACTCTAATATTATAGATTTAAGACTGCTACGTTCAGGGAGCGTTATCTATCAAAATTGTTATCATGATGAAAGAAGATTTGTTATTTTACTTCTTGTTATGTCCGAAAAGCACCCCCTCAAGTCATTATGTCCTTATTTTATGTTATTAGACATAAAACATTTAATTATACGTTTATTATAACGATAAAGATAGTTATTGAGTAACTATTTATCAACACTATTACTAAAAAAGTAGCGTTTATGTATAACGGTATCACTTAATGTTCTGCGACTTCGAGCGTTTTTTACTTTAAATAAGATAAGAAAAGCTAAAAATAAAAAAAACTTAGGAAACTCTAGCTCTATAAAAAGGAAACCCGCAGACTGCAGCAGTAATTTTCCGAGTTCTTCACGAGCAAAGAATCATAGAAAGTGAAGTAAGTATCTAGTACAGTTATAAAAATCATTACATGACAATGGGCAAATAAATTTCTATTTCTAAAATAATGCAGTATGTGTTTGTCTATATAGCTGCTAAAAAAATATCAAAAAAACGGCTGTAAGCTGCTTTTAATAGAAATAAAGTTCGTATTTTCTACATCTCATTTCAAATTATAAAATGAAAGGTTGAGAATCCCAAGAATAGGGATTTCTGGAATAAAGTAGCCTTTTGCGTTAGTTAATCGCATTATCGTAATGCATAGAAAAATTTTATCTTTATCAACCATATTTCTTTCATTGTATTACATATTCATGTCTGATCCTGGTTATATTTTAAATTCGAGGACTTATTTTCAGAGACTATAATGTTCTGATTTAATCAAGAAGTAAGAATGCGTCCCGTTAAAATAAAGGCTAAAGTTTCGTTGTGCTCGTTGGAGGCCGTGTTTTAATCATGATGTATAATTGTCACTATTCCAGATAATAATAGCCAGTTCAACAATTACTTGATGCAATGAAGATGCGCGGTGATTTCTACAACAGTAGCTTTATCTGCTTCATTATGTCGTTGGCTTGTCTGTTGCTCGTCCTCTCAACAACGATTATCGCCAGTATGTTTTTTATTCTTCTATTTCTTTGGCATTTAATAATACTTACATAATACAAATTTTAGAACCTACATTACAATAAGACGAATTTAAAACTCTTATATTATTAAGACTGCTGTGTTCAAGGAGCACTAACTATCAGAATTATTATGATGAAATAAGACTTCTTACATCATGAGCATTATTATATTATATTACCACTCTTATTATATTCGAGAAGCTTCCCCCCAAGTCATTATACCCTATTATGTATTATTAGACGTAAAACTAATTATACGTTTATTAACGGTAAAGATTGTTGAGTAACTATTTGCTAACATTGATAAATAAATATATTTTGCATATATTTATGAAGGATAAAAATAATGTCATTCCTTTTTAATTACTGTGTTTTTAACAATATGTGTTTGTCTGTACATAGCTGCGGAAAAAATATCGAAAAGGCAGCTTCGAATACAAATAAAAATCGTATTTTCTCCATCTCATTTCATGTTACACAAAGAAAAGTTAAGAATCTCAAGTACATAAAAATTTCTCGAATACAGTAGCATTCGTTAATCACATTTATCGCAATGCAAATCATGTCTCCATCGATGACATACATCCCATTGCACTTCCATTATATTATTCATGTCTGATCCTGGCTATACCTTAAATTCCAAGACTTTTTAAAGAATGTAACATTTTAATTTCATCGAGAAGAAAAATGAATCTCGTTAAAGTGAAGAAACGAAGGTAGATTCGTTCTGTTGTCGTTGAAAATATATTGTTACTATTCCAATTGTTACTATTCTAGATAGATAATAGCAACCGGCTAACAAATTACTTAATTCGATGAAGATACGCCGTGATTCCTGCAACAATGAGCTTTCCTGCATCGTTATGTGGATGTCGTTGACCTGTCTACTGTTTATTTTCGCTATTGACAACGATCACTGCTAGTATGTCCTCTATTCTTCTATTTTTTTCAGCGTTTTATTATTTATTCTTTATTTGACTCCTTTCCGTTTAATGTGCATGCAAATACAAAGAAACAAAGAAAACAAAATTGCGATAAAATATATTTCGAAAATGAATAGACATTTTCATTTTGGTTTACGCAACACTGGATTTAATTAGAACTTGTGAATATTAGACCGCACAACGCAAAAAATCGTTCTAAAAAATGATTTAAAAAAAGATTAAAATATTCACTTCTACTTTATAAGAACTTATTCTTTATTCTATTATTTTGTGTCGACATCATGAAAACTTTGCATCATAATTTTATTTCTTGATTCGGATTGATTTTGTCAGCCTAACACAACTAGTAAATAAAAGATATTTTTAATTCTCCAATATAATCATAAAGTAATATATTTGTATATTTAAAATTCGTTACGCACGAAGTGCGTTGTTATATCTTTAGTCATCTTTTAATCATTCTTTATTATTTTAGTGTCTCGCATTAACTCTGTTAATACAAAAAAAAACCGAATTCTATTTAGATTTATAAAATGAATAATTTGCAGAGCCGACCATCAATGAGATTGGCATCAAAGTGACCAGTAAGGATGCCATCAACGTAATATGCTCATCAACACATGTGTCTTACCCTACCCCTAGGGATTCGAGGTATATCTCCACTATATACATATAAAACTATACATCTATTTCATGTTTAACATATTTAATGTAAACTTAAAACTATCAGTACCTGTTGAAAATGGTCAAAAAACGAGTAAGACAAGAGAGGGATAAGTAAAATGGATAAAATGAATTGCTAATTTTATTAAACTAATAACAGATAAGGAGTCGATACTAAACTCATTAAAGGGTTTTGATCATAATAAAGATTTTTGTAATTTGATCTCAATTTGTCTACATAAAATGGATAATATACAATAATAAGAAATTTACATTTTAGACATACTCATATATAATTTTATGATGTCTATAAGAAATGATATAATTATATGACTACGGGTAAGATGACATATTATTCGTACATGTAGATTATATTTGTTACCGCATCACATTATAAATATGACTGCATCAAATTAGTTCTTTAATATTGATTATGTATATAAATTACAGTAAAGATGACCTTCTTGACACCTCCACCTAGAGAAAATAATGTGAGCAAAATATATCTCTCTTGAAACCGTTCCACTTTCATCTGAAATTTTTTATTAGTAATATTGGAAAAAATTAATTGGATTGATTAAAATGGGAACCTTGTATAGAAATGTAAAAGTGTGCATTTTTAAATAGAAATTTAAACTAAATATAAATTTTTTCTTTACATGCAGTAATCTTAATTTATGTCACGTGAAAATCTTTTCAATTATTCTTATTAAAAGATCTAATATTTTATGTTAGATTGATCCGGTCACCTACTGTCCCATATGCCCGTACTGGATTCTCTGTTTCTGCGCCATTTTCTGCCCGGAAAGCCAGATCTGCGAGCCAGAATTCTTGCTTTATACCGCCATGTCTCCGTGGTATCACATGTGTAAACGTCACGTCTTCATCAACAGTCTGTACGCGAATCCTTGCAGATCATCGCTTCACCACGACTATTTCTTTGCAACACGCCAAAATCCTTATTTACTTTATGTATCATTAGACATCTAAATATACGTTTACTATATCGATAAAGATTATCAAATTATCTACTAACATTATTGCCATTAAAACGCATCGTAGTAATCATTTACATAACGATACTACGCGTATTGTTTCATGACTCATTCTCCACATGTATCGTTTAAGACAAGACAAGAAAATAAAAAAAACTTTAAAATAAAAAAAGAGAGGGAAATTCTAATTCTATAAAAAGGAAACCTTCTGACTGCAGCAACAGTTTCTCGAGTTCCTCACAAGCAAAACATAGTGTACGTTTAACAGACTTAAGAAAGTGAAGTAAATATTGTAGTTTAGTAAAAAAAACTGTTGTATAACAATTGGCAAATAAATTCTTCTTTTGAAAATAATAACTTTCGCGAATCTTACAATTCACGAAAAATGTAAGACAATTCGACGCACAATATCTGTTCTTTTTTTTCGTACCGGCGCATCGCATTTTTTAATTTCGACATGCGCTTAGCGCGATTTTGATTTTTTTTTTCATTCAAGCGATTCCAGCAACGTATGTCGAGATTCTTCTCTTGGAGAAAATCTTTCATCTGCTCTTCTTCTCCGAAACTTCCTATTTCTCTTTTCTTTTTTTTCACGAAAGTATAAGACGATGATACGTTCGAAATACGGTGCGCCACGATAATAAAAAAGTTAAAGGCTAAGATCGGAAATGCTAAAGATAAAGAATGACCCACAACCGTTGGAGATCGAGCAGACGCACGCAATTACTTATATGAAACGGGAAAAATATCACTGAGTAAAAATGGTGCTGGAGTTAAATCTCTTGATAATCAATGCCATAATAAAAATGTGAATCATACTTTATGAGCGTAATGAAGCTCGTTATCATTTATCAGTCTTTTCAATTGCTTCATTCAACAATGATTATTCCGTTCAACATATTACATTCATTCGAATAATAAATTTCAAATTTATCTCATATCACTCTACATATAATTTTGTTATATTATATTTGTTATATTATATCATTTACTCAAATACTCAAACATGGTAGAACGGTTTCATGCTGCAAAAGAACTAATAATTATTAGTTACGACTATGATAGTCTTTTTCTTTGCTTATATCCTTTTATTAAAAGAAAGTACAGTAGCTAATGAAAAGGTCCAATACAGCAGCAATTTTTTTGTGCTTATTTTGAAAGATCAATAAAATTTTTTGTTAGTGGCAAAAATTAATCTTCATTCTATTCTCCCGATTTTATAAAAATGCAGAGCTATTATTATTATTGCATTTAAGTCTTCACTTATGTTATAAGTGTCATGTTTCATGAATTATAGCGTGCGTCTATTTCAATCAAATTCGAGTTTTAATTCTATTTAATCATCGCTTCTATTTTTAATCTCGAATATTTAAGGGACTTTGCCTTTTAGCAAAAATTTTCTTGAATGATCGAATTTATTCTCTCATCAAATGAATAGGTTTGGCATATTTTTGTCAAGAATTAAAATAATGCTATTGGTTTTTAATTAATAATACGCGTTTTTAGCAGTATGTATGTTGTGTTATGTACACAAATCCGGAAAAAATCGAATAGTAACTCATATGCAGCTATAAACCACTTCGAATAGAAATAAATTTCGTATTCTTTCCATCACATTTCATGTCATAAAATAAAAGATTGAGAATCTCAAGAACATCGGAATTTCCGGAATAAAGTAATCTTCTGTGTTTGTCAATCGCGTTTATTATAATGCGTAGAATAACGTCTCCGTCGATGCCATATCTCACTTTCGTTGCATTATTCATGTCTCCTAATTACATCCTAAATTCAAAGACTTTTCAGAGAATGTGATACGTATCGCTAATTTCACTATTGAGAAGAAGAATTCGTCCCATTAAAACAAAGGATAGAGTTTCATTCTATTCTCGCTGGAGTTTGTGTTTTAATCATGACGTAATTATCACTATTCCAGGTAATAGTGTGTGATCGATTCAAAAATTATTTAATGCAATGAAGATGCGCCGTGATTTCTACAACAGTGGATTTACCTGCGCCGTTGTGTGGCTGTCGCTGGCTTGTCTGCTGTTCATCCTCTCGCTAGCAACAATGATCACCGCCAGTACGTTCTCTATTCTTTTATTTTATTCAGCGTTTCATTATCTACTCTTTGTTAATTGAACTCACTTCCATCCAATGTGTACGCAAACATAAAGCTTAACAAGCAGATCAAACAATCGCTATAAAATAATTTTTAAAAATGAAGTCATTTTTATTGTGCATTTTGATTTGAGCAACACCAGATTTAAATAGAACTTTTAAATACCTGCACGGGACCGCTTTTGCTCTGAAAATTAAAGTGAAAAGTTTACTCTTTGCTAACAAATGTCTGTGTTCAAATCAAAGTAACAACTTTGTCTTTCTATTTACACTAATTCTTTCCAATACATTAATGACGAAACCTTATAAAAAGCAATCATTATTAATTTTTTTACTTCCGACTGTTATCAATCAAAAGTTGACATAACAAGAAGTATTTTATTGAAATCAAATCATTACTTTATCAGAATTAAATTATTAATTTTTATATTCTTTTGTTTTAATAAACTTTCATTCGTTATATATTCTATGTTTTCTTCTTTGAGTTACTCGGAAGTATTCGCTTACGGTACCATTTTGAAACGCTATCACATACATTTAGATACATATAATAAGTATGATAAAACGATAATTAAGCTAATAAGTAGAATACCGAGAAGTCGATATCCATCGACTGAAGCTACTTTTATTATCATTGTCATTGTTCTACGCTTTTGTCAGAAAGTGTTCAAAAACTCGTTTTTTTATATAACCGAGAAAGCAATATATAGTAAATTTTATTTTTTATGCAAATGGAAAAACATACTTGATTTATGTTTAAAAATCTTTTTTTTTCTTGTGTCAATTTATATTGCAAGAGAATAAAGAAATAAATAGAAAAGCTGCATTAAAAATGTATTCGGTAACGCATCTTCAACTTAGCATTCCTATCTTTCCTAAATATATTGTATTTTGTATTAAAATTGATACAAGAGAAAAAAATTTGTAAACATAAATCATATATATTATTTTTTAATTTGCACAAAAAAGCCTGCAATAATTGTGTTTTCCTTTCTCCATATAATACAAAAAGAATAAGAAAGAAATAAGAACGTGAAAAAACTTTCATAATTTTTTACAAAATTTTATCATTAAATAAGACATAGGCTCTCTCTTGCCAGTTATTTTATTTTCATGACAAGCTTTCATCATTACAACTAACGCAATAATTTATTCTTTATTATGTTATTTGCTTCTATAAAGGCGCCCCCCTCTCTCTCTCTGTCTCTCTCTCTCTCTCTCTCTCTCTCTCTCTCTCTCTCTCTCTCTCTCTCTCTCCTCCAGATGATTTGATAAATATATCCCAACATGAGCAAATATCATATACATACATGATGTACGTAATTATTCATATTGAATATATTGATCAATATTTAGCAAATGTTTGCGAAGTTGACGTATACGTTGACCATATTGTCTGAAAGCGCCTTAAATATTATATCTATTCGTAAATCAAAACTTTATATTGTGATTTTATCTTTTGATTTGAATTGATTATGTCAGTTTAACTAATGAATATAAAAGGCACTTTTTAATTAAAAGAGATTCAAAAAATGTTTTCTCTAATGTATGCCGAAAGCATAAAAATACGGAATAATTATCAGATATCACTTCAGACAGCTTGAAATAAAGTCCAAATTTTCATTTTATTCAATTTTTCAATATATTGGTATAATCATAAAGTAAATATATTAATATAATGAAAATTTGTATAATCATAAAATAAATATATTAATCGTCTTTTCATTATTCTTTCATTATTTTAATGTCTCGCTTTCATTATGTTTATACAAAAACAAAGTTCCATTATTTATGAATTAATTTATGATGGCAGAGCCGACCATCAATGAGATTGACATGATTAGCAATGCTACAAACGAAACGTACCCACCTATCATGTGTCCCATAATGACATGCCGCTGGGGATTCAGTCACGAAGTATGTATATATCTACTATAAGTAAAACTATACATCTACTTTAGACTTAGCATATTTAATATAAATTTATAATTATTATTATTGAAAATATGTAATCATAAATAGGACAAAAAGAGAATAAAATGACGAAATGAGTAAGATAACGAATTACTAATTCTTCTAAGCCAATAACAGATATTCGATAATAGTTTGACTTTAATTTGTCCACAGAGAGTGAACAAAGATAAATAATATAATAAGAAATATATTTTAAACGCAGTATTTATATGTAATTTTTTGTCTGTTTATATATAAGAAATAACACAATTATAAATTCACTTTTTTTCGTTACATTTCTAACTAAAATATTTTTTTGTATTATTAATGATTTTGAAAAAAATTAACATAATTCATTAAAAATGAGATGCTTTATATTTTTTATAGAGATATAAAAAAGAATTTGTATTTTTTTAAATAGAATTTTAAACTAGATTCTTTCTTTACATAAAATAATCTTGATTTGTTATGTGTTTTACGTAAAAATTTTAAATGAAAATACTGTTATTGAAAAATTCAACGTTTTCGATAGATCGATGAAGTCACCGGCTGTCAAACGTGCTGGGATCCCTGTTCCAACGTTGAATGTCCAGAAAACAAGACATGCGTGCTACAAATGCGGGCATGTTTTACAACACCGTGTCCCCCGTTAACTACCTGTGAGAATATTACATTTTAATCTGCAGGCGAATCCTTGCAGATCACCAATTCGCAACGACTATTTGCAATGTGCCAGGTAAATCAATTTGTCCATTGATGTACAGGCGTTGATGTAGCTGCCTGGTATAGAGTATCTTCAATAAGAGTTAGGACACCTTATATCAATTTATTTGTGTAAAACAGAATATTTTTGTGTTAAACAGAATATAATAAATTAAAAATAATTAAATAAATTGTATATAATAATTAACTCTTACACACATTAGTTTTTTTTGGGCACACTTAATACACACGTTCGGTCATTCGTGTCTTGGCTTAATTTTCATCACTTTTACAAATATATATAAATTATTAAACAATTGTTACATATATTTTGACATCTTTAGAAAATATTTGTGCAGTTATATATTTATAACAAAACGTAGATAAATTGTTGTATCTAAATATAGTCAACAAAATCAGAAAAATGCACTGTTTCATATAAAAATATAAAACTCTGAAACAAAAATGTTTAAAAGAAAAGTATGATTCAGTATCTTAAAGTTGACATTTCAAACTATAAGAAAAAAAATCGTTCAAATTCAGCTGTCCAAAAAGTTTAATTATTGAGTAATCTAAAAATGATATTTTTTTAATGCAGACAAATACCTATAAATTGAAGATATATTGCATTTATTTTAAAACAATGCATTTTATTATTGTTATTGTGTTTAAAAAAACATGTAATTTATTGGGAAAATATTCTTTATAACATTACGGATAGTATGATATATAATATTAGATAACATTTAGGACAAGAGTTCCAAAAATCGCGTTTATTAAGAGCTGATATGTTGTTTTAGAGTTAAATTTTTTTTTAAATAATTCGCGAAATATTCTCGCAATACAATCGAGAATTAGTTAGTTTTAAAGACAAAAAAATTCTTTTAATTGTAGGAAATGTACACTCTGTACACACCTAGGGTCATTTGTGACCAGAGGTGAACTTCGGAGTTCCAGTTAAGGATAGGCACGAATTGAGGTAGCAATAACGCACAAAACTTATTTTTTAGATGCCAAACTATTTTTAGGAATAGAAAAAAACCGGTATTTAACAAAATGCTCTTAATATTTCAAAAAACAGAAATAGGCAGGACACGAATAACCCAAAGGTATGTATTAAGGGTTAAAAATGATTAAATAAATTATATATAATAATTAAAATTTGTTTTTTACTAAATTAATAAATAATCCACTTATTAATGTCAGTTGATTATTTAAAATCAAGCAAACGATGCTCACTTCATAGACGTTCGAACTTTCGACGAACTACGAATGTCCGACATAACTGTCTGAAAATCACAAATGTCCGAAAAAATATTAACGTGCATACTGATTTACGCTTCGCGACGACCACTCATTGTTAAACCCGGCACTCCCGACGCGTCCGAATCTGAGATACGTTTTTACGAAATTCGAAAAACGACAGCAACTTCACGCCGATGCTCGAAACTTTGACCTTCGACGCGCCAACTGCAACGGTCCGACGCAACGTAACAGGCGGATTCAAATTGCGTTTGACCATCGCACGTACAAATTTATGCTACGACAATTACTCACTGTCAGATTCAACACTCCCGATGCGCTAAATACCTGTTCAAGACGCTCGCGAAACATCGCAGCAACTTCACTCCGGTTCTAGAAGTTTCGACGCACCAACGGCTCGAGCAACGCCACACTGTTTGCAGGATTGATATCGTGAAATATAGATCGTTTGGCGGTCTCACGTACTAATTTATGCTTCATAATAATCCCTTCGATACTCCTAATAATACACTACAGGAAGTGAGGAAACAGTAAGATCGCGGCACTTCACTCCCGATGCTCCGAGCGAGCCAACGATTCGCGATTAACAAGAATAGATTCGCACGCATTGTTCCACTACAATCATTTATCGCCAGATTTTATGTTCCCGACAATCCTGTAACACTCACACGAGGCTTCTGAATGGAAAAAGTACACACGAAATACGGAACGACGTGAAACGCGTCAAATACGTACCAGCGCGTGCCAGGCAATGCCAGGTAGTGCCGGGTCGCTCAGCTAACTGACGAGGTGTGACGCGTAATAGACTGCGTGACGTCAGCATGTGTGTCGTACGATAACCATGACCGTTAACATTTTCAAAAAATACGATCGCGATGTTTTCGCATCGTTAAGCCATGCATTAATTAACTGTTACTATATTTCTATCGTCTTATTCTATGGTTTATCTTACATATCAAGTAGTAGATATATAAATTATATAAAGTATATATAAAGGATATATAAAGTATATATAAATTTTTAAACAATTTTTACGTATATTTTGACACATCTTTAGAAAGTATTTATGTATATATTCATAATAAATTGTAGATAAATTATAGATAGTTAATGAAATGAAAAAAATGCATTGTTTCATATAAAAATGTAAAACTCTGAAACAAAAATGTTTAATATTTTTTTGTAACTAGATTTAGTTACAACAATTTATCAAAAATTTATATGTAAAAATTGTTTAATAATTTATATATACTTGTAAAAATGATGAAAATTAAGCCAGAACACGAATGACCGAACGTGTGTATTAAGGGTATCAAAAACTAACGTGTATATTATAAGGATTAAAACGAATTAGAAATAATTGAAAAATGTCTTTTAATAATCATTTTGGAGTCATTTTAAAATCATTTTCATATCATAACTTGTTCTGTTTGAGCAGATTCGAATATACATAAATGAACGATCGACATGTCGTTCATATCCACTACCTAATATGTAAGATAAATCATAGAATAAGACGATAGAAATATAGTAACTGTTAATTAATGTATGGCTTAACGATGCGAAAACACAGCGGCCGTATTTTTTGTGAAAATGTTAACGGTCATGATTATCGTACGACGCACGTGACGTCACAAGGTCACACCTCGTCAGTTAGCTGGGCGACCCGGCACTGCCTGGCATTGTTCGGCACGCGCCGGTACATACTTGACGTGTTTCGTGTCGTTCCGTATTTCGTGTGTACTTTTTCCGTTCAGAACGAGCCTCGTGTGAGGAATGAGTGTTATAAGATTGTGGGGAACAACGCGTGCGAATCTATTCTTGTTAATCGCGAACCGTTGGCTCACTCGAAGCATCGAGAGTGAAGTGCCGCGATCTTACTGTTTCCTGACTTCCTGTAGTATATTATTAGAAGTATCGAAGGATTATTATGAAGCATAAATTAGTACGTGAGACCGCCAAACGATCCGTATTTCACGATAATCAATCCTGCAAACCGTGTGACGTTGCTCTGATCGAGCCGTCGATCGTTGGTGCGTCGAAACTTCTAGAATCAGAGTGAAGTTGCTGCGATCTTTCGAGTGCGTCTTGAACAGGTATTTAGCGCATCGGGAGTGTTGAATCTGGCAGTGAGTAATTGTCGTAACATAAATTTGTACGTGCGATGATCAAACGCAATTTGAATCCGCTCTATTGCGTCGCGTCGGACCGTTGTAGTTGGCGCGTTGAAGGTCAAAGCTTCGAGCATCGGCATAAAGTTGTTGTCGTCTTTCGAATTTCGTAGAAACGTATCTCGGATTCGGACGCGTCGAGAGTGCCGAGGTCAACAATGAGCGGTCGTCCCGAAGTGTAAATCAGTATGTACGTAAAAATTTTTTCGAACATTTGCGATTTTTAGACAGTTATGTCGGACATTCGTAGTTCGTCGAAAGTTCGAACGTCTATGAAGTGAGCGTCGTTTGCTTGATTTTAAATAATCAACTGACATTAATAAGTGGATTATTTATTAATTTAGTAAAAAGAAAATTTTAATTATTATATATAATTTATTTTATCATTTTTAACTCTTAATACATACCTTTGGGTTATTCGTGTCCTGCCTATTTCTGTTTTTTGAAATACTAAGAGCACCTGGTTAAATACCGGTCTCTTTTCTATTCCTAAAAAAATTTGGCATCTAAAAAATAAGTTTTGTGCGTTACTGGCCTTCAATTCGTGCGTATCCTTTAACTGGAACTCCGAAGTTCACTTCTGGTGATTTACAAATGACCCTACGTGTGTATAGAGGGTTACATTTCCTGTAATTAAAAGAATTTTTTTGTCTTTAAAACTAACTAATTCTCTTGTATTGCGAGAATATTTCGCGAATTATTAAAAAAAATTTAATCCTAAAACAACATATCAGCTCTTAATAAACGCGATTTTTGATACTCTAAATGTTGTCAGTAATGTAATATTATATATTATATTCTGTCTGTATAATGTTATAAAGAACATTTTCCATAAATTATAAGTTTTTTTAACACAATAGCAATAATAAAATGCATTGTTTTAAAATGTAAATGCAATATATCTTCAATTTATAGTCATTCATGCGTATTAAAAAAACTTTTTAGCAGCTGACACTTGAAATATATAGTTCAAATGTCGGCTGTCCAAAAAGTTTAATTATTGAGTAACCTGAAAATGATGTTTTTTTAATGTAAACGAATGGCTATAAATTGAAGATATATGGCATTTACATTTTAAAACAATGCATTTCATTATTGCTATTGTGTTAAAAAAAAACTTGTAATTTATTAGGAAAATATTCTTTATAACATTGTTTTAGGGCTAAATTCTTTTTTTTTTTTTAATAATTTGCGAAATATTCCCACAATACAATTGAGAATTAGTGGAAAATAAAGAAAAAAATAAAAAATTTTTAGTTAAAAAAATGTACACTCTATACACATGCTGGATTATTTGTGACCCAGAAATGAATTTTAGATTTACGCCAGTTAAAGAATACGCACGAATCGAGGCCAGTAACGCATAAAATTTGTTCTCTAGATGCCAAACTTGTTTTAGGAATAGAAAAAAGACCGGTATTTGACCAGGTACTCTTAGTATTTCAAAAAAAGAAATGCGCAGGATACCAACGACTCAGACGTGTGTATTAAGAGTTACATATTTACTTCACACCATTCATATTTGTTTACAAAAATATCTTCAATATCCCATCACTCCGAAACCGTTCGGAATCAAATTTATATTAATTTTGACTGGTTTTTACGTGCTAAAACTGTCGGATTTTATAGTTGGGATAATCTTATTATTGAAAAACAGGAGAATTTCGATCTTTATTAGTCTATATAAATATATATAATCGAACACAGTATAAATCTATAAATATAATAATCTATTTACAATTGTATGGACGTATTAACGTAATGACTTCGGGATTTTCAGACCCAGGACAATCTTGCGTTAATGGTTCACACATCAAAGAGGTAATGAAGACAAATATCAATGAAAATATAATAAAATCATTTCCCATACCTAGATCCTCGACGATCAAACAAATGTCCGTCGATAAATTCATTATTCGCGAATAAATGTTTCCGATTTCACAAAAGAATCGTTATTTTATGTCTTAAACTTTAAAAAAGTAGATTACATTTCCGAATCGTCCTCTATATTTTGTCAAAATTGCTTAATAAATTTACAAACGATTTATAAATTTACATTACATGAATAATGTCGAACAAGTATAATGTCTTTAATAGTTGTCTTTAGAATCTATATAGTCATATGTATGAACACCGGATCCAAGAATGTCGCATGCATTCGTTTGATCGTCAAGTCTGGACCGTAATGATGAATCTCGTGGACAATAAATTAGGACGAAATATCGACAGATATACATGACATTGTTTTGACTACGATGTATACTATACCATGTACGACATTACTTCGTTTCCAGGTTGCATTTATGATTGTGAGCTTTTATTTATTAACCATTAATAGTTAAGAACAAATTCAGTTACGTATATAAGATTATTAAACATATTCAAAGTTATATAAAGGCATAAAAACATGTTCTTAATTGTTTTAATATTCTTAGCAAATATTTAATATTTTTTAAACAAACATTTTTTTAAACTAAACATTCATACTGAGAAAATTGTTCTCTATACTTTCAATATATGTTTTTGCAAGAAATTATCCCCTTAACGATTATATTATACGTCTCATGTATAAAAAAAAATGTTATAGAGATAGAAAAAGGTATAAGAATTAAAGAATTATCGATTGTTATAATTTGAGTACACCTGGAAAAAGAAGTTTAAGAATCACTATCGTACAAGATGGAAATTATCTATGTAAAAAGCGAATCGTTTTATGCTCCGACAATAGTGTCCGATGTATGAATATTCTCTAGCTTCTGATGTGCCGCATTCTCCTTTTCTTTCTCATTCTGCTCCGATCCTGATATCACGTAGACCGGCTGTTGGCTATAAGCGAGGAAGTGTTGATCCATTGGAAACATTTTCGAGGGATCCTTTAGCTTCATCTGCAAGATTTGTTTAGAAAATTTAATGATGGCCGTATCATAAATAATTCTCAACGATGCTAAAAATATATTAAATAAAATTCAGATTAAGATATAATTACTTGGAAAAGACAGTTTTATTGAAGTATTTAAAAATTTAGCTAGATACAGATCTAAAAATAATTTTGTTAGACCATCAAAAAATAATTAGGCTACTTTAGAATGTCAAAATTTTTTGCAGTATTATACTCATTATGCTTGAGATTCCTACCGAATTATTAAGACCAACAAAATTATTTTTAAATCTATATCTAAATTTTTAGATACTTCAACAAAATTGTTTTTTCCATGTACATTTAGATTGCTAGACATAAGATATTACAGATTTAATACTCCGAAAATAACATCAAAATTTGTGACACTATTATTAAAATTTTATGAAACTCATTTAATTCATTCATGAAACTCATTTAACTTATATTGATTAAAAAGCACTAATCGAATTTAAAGAACCAAAACAATATAACTCATATAATAAGTACATATGTATGTGAATACTAAATTTACTTCAATAACAATAGTTCAAATTTGTAAATATAATATAAAGGATATAATTGAATAGGTTCAATAGAGTCAGAGCCTAAGCACAAAGATGAGAAACAATTAAGAAAGAAGCACGTAACTAAGTCGTGGAACGTAAATCGTAGTTGACCAAAATATTGTGCATAGATCTAGGACTACGAAATTTCACAACTCAATTATGGCCATCTTTGTGCTTAGATCCTCACTGTCAATTCTACAAAGTTAATATCTTCAGTGAAATTTTAAAAGTCCTTACCTTTTTGCGGTATAACATTAGCAGAATAACGAGACTACTAATAATGAAGGCGCTGCTCGCCGCGAGCACGATCGTAGCCGTTTGATAGAATGGCGATTCCATTTGCGTGAGGATCTCACGTTGTTCCAGTGTGACAATCCGGCTCTGCATTGCCACAGGTGTGGAGCGATGCGTAAAACGTGAGGTCGTCGCATCCGCAGACGAACCCAGCAAGGACAACTTCTGAATTCGCGTGAGCTCTTCCAAATGGAACGCCACGTCTACTTTGTTCGTGCCGACAATCTCGAAACTCAAGATTGCCGAATCCTGATTGATTTCTACTCGTATGTCTTTTCGGAGTCTCGCACCTAGTTCGTGCAGAAAATTCTCGGCCTCTCGAGCGAATCGCTTCTCGTCGCTGGCGAGGAATCGACCGGGGAAACGTAACGTCACTTCAACAGCTTCAACTGGAGTAGGTACTAAATAATATAACAGATATTAAAATTCAAATTGCAATAAATTTAAATAATTGCATTGTTGTAAAAATTTATAATTAAGAATTTTAATTTAGAGAAATATATGCGCGTGTATGCGACTGTCGTATTATGAGAGGTCGGGAAGATTAGGACCGGTTGTCATAATTTTTCAATTACATTTTAAAAAAAGTGAATGTAAGATTTTTAAACACGTTGCAATACATTCCTTAGGTATTAAAAAATATATTACTTTTGAAAATATCATCATACAAATAAGTTGTATAATTTTAAAGTTGTGAAAAAATGTGACAATTATCTTACTCCAATTTGATTGTCACATATT